TTTGTAGTTTTAGTAGAGATGGGGTTTCACCATGTTGGCCAGGCTGGTCTCGAACTCCTGACCTCAAGTTATCCACTCTCCTTGACCTCCCAAAGTGCTGGGATTCACGCGTGAGCCATCGCGCCTAGCGTGGCAGTCCCATTTCTTGAAAAGTGTATCTTTCCTCCATTAAATTGCTTTTGCACTTTTGTCAAAAATCAGGTGTATTTTCATGGGTTTATTTCTGGGGCCTATTGATCTATGTGTCTGCTCTTCTGCCAGTACCATACAGTTTTCATTAGTGTAGCTATATAATCACTCATGAAATCAGGTAGATTGATTCCTTCCACTTTATTCTTCTTTTAAAAAATATTTTCACTATTTTAATTTCTTTGCCTTTACAAATAAATTTTAGAGCATTCCTGTCTATGTTTACAAAAATATTGCTATAGTTTGAATAGGCAGTGCATTAAAATAGTACATCAGTTTGGAAAAAAATTGACATCTTTACAGAGTCTTCTAATTCATGAACATAGTATGTCAGTTTATTTCGATCTTTGATTTCTTTCATCAGCATTGTGCAGTTTTCAACATGCAAGTCCTGTACATGTTTTGTTACATTACATCTATTTCATTTCTTTCAGATATTATAAATGAAATCATATTTTTAATTGCAGTGTCCACAAGTTCATGGCTAGTACATAACAATGCATTTTATTTTTGTATTATGCAAATTTGCTGGAGATGCTTAATTCTACTAGGTTTTTTTCTTTTTTCAAGATTCTTAGGGATTTTCTGCATCATCAATCATGCCATCTGCAAGTAGGAGTCATTTTACTTATTCCTTTCTTATCTGTATTATGTTTACTTCCTTTTCTTGCCTTATTGATCTGGCTAGAACTTCCAGGACTGTTGAATGAGAGTGATGAGAACAAGTTTCTTAGCTTTGTCCTTGATCTTATGGAGGAAGCATTCAATATTTCCCCATTAGCTGTAGGTTTTTCTACAGATGTTCTTCATAAAGCTGAGGCAGTTCCTCTATATTCTTATATTTCTGAGAATTTTAATTATGAATGGGTGTCAAATTTTGTCAAATGCCTTTTCTACATTGATTGATATGTGATCTTCCTTCTTTCGCCTGTTAATATGATAGATTATACTGATTGAATTTCAAATATTGAATTTTAAATATTGAAACAGTCTTGCATCCTTGAAATAAACCCCAGCTAGTCATGGGGTTTACTTATCTTACTTGAAGTAAGATTTACTAATGGAATTTAGAAATCACGGGGTCTCACTCATTGGAGGCCAAAATAAATGCAAAGGAACAATGACATCAGAAAGCTGAACATAGAATCTCTTGATTGTTATTATCTGTAATAGCTGAATTATAGGGATAGTGTTGGGGCAGAACCTGATGCTGGGCCAAGCTGGAATTCTAGCCATTGAGCCACAGCCGCTAGTTCAGGGCCATCTCCAAAGGGAAAAGTTATGCTAAAACAACAGAGAGCAGACTTATTCCAAGAGACTAAGGAAAGAGAAAAGGGAGAGAGAATGGATAGAAATTTTAAAACAGTTATTAAGAAACATCATAAATAAAGTGGGCATTGGTAGTGTTGAAACAAAAGTCTTAATGCAGCACTCTCAGAAGTTCGATGGACAAATGGAAACCCTTACTTACTAGTCCCCTAACATTGAAGGGCGCTCAACAAATCCACTTTGTTCAACCTAGTTTGGATAAATTTTAAAAGCTGCAAAGCAAAGATGACTATGAGAAACCTGACTTCCAATCACCTGGGGTGGAAGATACACAATGTAGTCAAGATAAGAACTGAAGAAAGGCCGGGTGGGTAGCTCATGCCTGTAATCCCAGCACTTTGGGAGGCTGAGGTGGGTGGATCACCTGAAGTCAGAAGTTTGAGACCAGCCTGGCCAACATGGTGAAACCCCGTCTCTACTGAAATACAAAAATTAGCCGGGCGTGGTGGTGCATGCTTATAATCCCAGCTTCTCAGGAGGCTGAGGCAAGAGAATTGCCTGAACCCAGGAGGCGGAGGTTGAAGTGAGCCAAGATCACGCCACTGCACTCCAGCCTGGGCAACAGAGTGAGACTCCATCACATACACACACACACAAACACACAAAACAAAACAAACAAAAACTGAAGAAAGAACCTAGGCCCATTGGCCTAATCTCTGGCTGGAGTTCAAGACCAAATGTACGTGAATGGGTAAATAGTCAGGGGTGGAAAAGAAACATTTCTAAAATTCTTTGACATGAGAGCCCCATGCATTGTTTTTCTGTTAGTGAGATTCTAACCAAGGCGACAGTTAGATTGGAAAGATGAAAATACATTTGATGGGATTAACGCGAAAGTTTGGATAAAAACTGGAATGTCTGAACAGACTCTATTTGGAGTGGCTGCATCCCCTTTACATGAATGTACTATGGGGATGGATATTGCCTGAGGAAAATTTCCTGTATCTAGTAATGTAAAACACAAGACAGGTGGATCTGCCCTTCAGACAATATTGATTGGACATGCTAAATGGGAACCAGTAAGATTGCTGAGCCCATGAAGTTGTTAATATTAAAAACTATAGGATACTTGGTGGACAAAAACATGTTAAAAAGACAGTCTGGTACCTGAAAGGGTGAAGGCCACTTCCGTTTTTGGAAACTGATAGCAAATGGGAAACTTCAAGCCTGAGTGGCATTTCTCTGGGAGACATTTTGGTCATACAATACGATGATGAACTGGAGCACTTGTTGATGGCAGAGTAGAACTCTTGTATCTATCTGCCACTAGCTTTTGACTCTAATTTTTCAAATTATGTTTACTACCATATCATAAACAGTGTAACTCTCGGACTGTAAGTGAGGTTATAATATTCACACTGATGGCCAAATTTATTGAGAAATTGAGTTAAAAGCCTCCTACTCTACACTGGCTCCTTCAAATGTCAGACATGTTCATTTTACTGTAAGAGAGCTTTGGCCAAAGCAGGTGGCAGCCATGTTGTAAAGGATTCAGTCTTGCCCAAAGAGAAGAGTTGACTTTTGCCCTTGGCTTCTGGGAGGTTATCTATGTCATACCTGATAGGAATGTCTTTGTTTAGATGGGGAGTGGGCAAACTGGATTTTAGGGTGGAGACTGGGCATTCCAGAGAGACCAAGCATGTGAATTAGGTGGGGGCTTTTGTCATGCACTATCAGTCTAGTTGGAGTCTCAGTTCAACCAAGTGGACGATTGATCAAGCCTATGTGCTGGAGTCCCAATAAAAACTGTGGACACAGAAGCTTAGGCAAGTGTCCCTGGTTGGCAATACTCCAAGCATACTGTCACATACCAATGCTGGGAAGGTAACACAGCCTGACTCCATGGGAGATGACAACAGAAGCTTTGCATTTGGAGCCCTCCAGACTTTGCCTTAGGCATTTCTTTCCTTAGCTGATTTTGATCTGTATTCTTTCCCCATAACAAACCATAACTATGAGCATAATGGCTTTCGGTGAGTTCTGTGAGTTCTTCCAGTGAATTATCAAACCTGAGGGTGGTTCAGTAACCTCTAAACTTGCACTGACATCAGAAGTCTTGGACACTATGCCCTCAAATTTTGCAGTTTGGCTAACTCTGCTTAAGTCAAGAAAAAAAGAAAAACAAAAACTTTTTTTTTCTCCTTAGCTCCCTAGTATTTCTAGAAACAACAACAAAAATGAAAAGCAAGTAAGCAAACAAAAATATGTGCCTCTATGCAAATTAAAATCACAATGACACTTCACACCAACTAAAAAAGCTATAATCAGAAAGACGGATGATAACAAGTGTTAGTGAAGATGTAGAGAAATTGGAACCCACATACACTGCTGGTGGGAACACAAAATGTTGTAGTCACTTTGGAAAACATTCTGGCAGTTCCTCAAATAGTTAAACATAGAGTTGCCATAAGATGTAGCAATTCCCCTCCTAGGCATATACCCAAGAGAAATGGAACATATGCCCACACAAAAACCTGTAAATGAATATTTACAGTTAGCATAATTCTAATAGTCAAAAAGTGGAAACAACCTAAATATTCCTCAATTGATGAGTGGAAAGTTAAAATGTGGTATAGTCATACAATGGGGTATTATTTGGCAATAAAAAGAAATGAAGTATTAACATGTAGTTCATATCATGGATGTACCTTAAAAACATTACAGTTAGTGAAAAATAAGATGAAAATGGCTACACATTATGAGATTCCATTTATGTGAAATATCCTGAATAGACAAGTTTATAGAGACAGAAAGGATGAGGGATTGCTTAGGCTTGGGCAGGGCTTGGGAGGAAATGGGTGGTAACTGCTAATGAGTATAGGATTTTGGGGGGTTGTGACAAAAATGTTCTAAAATTTATGGTAGTGATGGGTCCGCAACTGTGACTATGTTAAAAACAATTTATTATGAGCTTTATTTTTATTTTTTGTTTTTTGAGACGGAGTCTTGCTCTGTTGCCCAAGCTGGAGTGCAGTGGCACGATCTCACTGCAATCTCTGCCTCCCGGGTTCAAGCGATTCTCCTGCCTCAGCCTCCCAGGTAGTTGGGATTACAAGCGTATGCCACCATGCCCAGCTAATTTTTGTATTTTTAGTAGAGACGGGGTTTCACCATGTTGGCCAGGCTGGTCTCGAACTCCTGATCTTAAGTGATCCGCCCACCTTGGCCTCCCAAAGGGCGGTGATTACAGGCCTGAGCTAACTCGCCCGGCCTATTATGCATTTTACATCGGGAATTGTATGGTATAGTATGTGAATGAGACCTTAATAAAGCTGAGTTGTTTGCGTTTGTTGTTTATTTGTTTTGAACCTGCTTGGTAAAGATGAACTCTGAACTCAATGAAACTGAATTACTTTGGTGATTTCTCAGAACTCCCTGTTAAGGCTTTCAGGTCCTCCGAAAAGCGAAAGTGGGCTGTGACCATCTTCTAAGAACGCCAAGAAAATACGGAATGGAGCCCAGGATTTCAGAGCGTAGTCGCCGGGCTCCCAGGCTGATCCGGCTCCGGGAGCCTCCAGCCGCCCTTTCCGATGCCCCACGGCCTCCGAGCATCCCGGCGGGTGGTCCCAAGCCGAGGGCGGAACTCCGGGGAGGAGCGCTCTTCACGCCCACACTGGAGGCCGTGGCAGGCCTGGAAACCCCGCCCTGCGGGGTCCTAAGAAGCCACTCGAGCCCCCGAAGAGCCAGTCTTCGCAGCCTTTCCCGGAGCGCTCGCATCTGGCGCTGCCCAGAGCCCGCTCGCAGCGCTCAGGGACGGGAGGCCCGGTTTCCACGGGAGAGGCTGCGGACTGTGGGCCCCGTCCCGAGGGGGTGGTGGTGGGAGACACCCGGCGACCCCCCAGAGGCGATTCCGGAGGTGGCGGCGGGGGCAGCCTACGCGTCCCCTGGAAGCACCGCCCCGCCTGGGTGGTGCCCGCGCCGGCTCCTCCTCTTCCCCTCCGCAGCAGCCCGCCCCGGCCCGCAAACCCAAACACTCCAGGCGCCCGCCCACCGCGCGTGATTCTCGCTTCGCCGCCGCCCAGCCCTGCGCGCCCCGCCTGGCGCCCCCCGCCCGGCCGCTCCGGGCCCCGGGCCCCGCGGAGCGATGCTGCTGCTGGCTGCCGCCTTTCTCGTGGCCTTCGTGCTGCTGCTCTACATGGTATCTCCGCTCATCAGCCCCAAGCCCCTCGCCCTGCCCGGGGCGCATGTGGTGGTGAGTGGCCTCCTGTTGCTGCGCCCCGACCTCCCCGCCCGCGCGGCCTTTCTGCCGCCCAGGCCGCGCCGCCTGCGTCCCTTTTTCCAGGCCGCGGTCCCCAGGAAGGCATGGCCAAATGGGGAAGGTCACCTGCCGCCGTCCACCCCGGCGCTTTCGCCCCGGCCCCGGCACCCGGCCTCGCGGACCCGCCCTCCACTGCCTCGGGCTCCTCCTAGGGCGGGAGAGCGTGCGACGGGGGACCGCGCCAGCCGCAGGGTTCCCGGGGCCCAGGGGTTCGGTGGCTGCTTGTGAATCCACGCAACATCCCTGGGATGTGGATGTTTTGTCCTCAGTTTTTCCGATGAGTCAACTGAGGCACAGAGAGGCTGAGAAACTTTGCCAAAACACAGGGGTCGGTGGTGCGCAGGGTGCGGCGCACGGTCCCGGGCGGGGGCAAACAGCGGGGAGGTGGGGTCCCAGCCACCGGGACCCGCCGAGGCAGCTCGGAACTGGAAGATGGCCTGTGCGAGTGACTGGAAGAGCCGCTGCCAGAGGATTCCAGGAAGTGACTCACCTGGGGAAACTGCTGAGAACCCAGCGGCCTGGCGGTGGTGGCTTAGCGGTATTGGGACGCCTGTCCCGTCTACACTGCTTGTCTCTGAGCTCAGCGTGGCATCTGCTGATTGCTGCTCCAATGCAATCCTTTGCTGTTTCCTAGTGGGAAGGATGAGCTAAATGACAGGGCTAGTGTGCGAGGAATGAAGGAGAGGTGGATGGGTGTCTTTTGTTTCTTGGCGGAAGCTCGCATATTCAGCGATCCCTGTTGTACAAATGTGGCACCTTTCTTAAACAGAGAGAATGCCTCGTTACCTGCGCCCAGCACTTCCCCGTTTGCAGTGGCTTTCTCACCAGCTTTCTTGTTTGGATCTCCCAATCCCGAGGCATAGTGAATCGGGGAGTTAGGAATAAGGAGGGTTGATTACAAAGCTGGCCACACACCTCTTCCTGTCCTATCTCTGCACCGGAGATCCGAGCCTCCCTGCTGAGCTGGTGTAAGATAAGATGGTCATTTCTCTTAGTGTACTTTAAATCTGTAGAAGGGTTTGTGAATGCGAAAATGTATCTCTTTAATTTCTCCTTTGTAAAGCTATTAGCTTTTTCCAACACCTCCTGTTCCTAATGGGGAAAGAGTGTGGATTCATTACAAAAAACAAATAAGGAGAAAGGCAAAACTTGACACACTAAATTCTGAAAGTTTTACATCCGCAAGAGAACTGCTGCCTCAAAAGCATGGCTTTAAACGTTGGATCCTTTCAGAGCTTGTGTTTATAGAGCATAACTTTGCAAAAAGTAAAGTTAAACGCAGAATGAAAATTGGAATTCCTTCTTTGTAAGACAGTTTCACTGAGCCTTGGCTCCAGTCCTTCCAACCCCATCCCGCGGCAGGTCATAGGTGAAATAATAAATGCTGTGTCTGTTCAGGTGGACCAAGAAGAATTTCTTATTTTTACCATCCTGCTTTAATATGCAGGATTATTATTTCAGACTCTAAATAATGTGAGAATGACATGAATAATTCGCATGGTGTCACCATCTGTCTTCTTTTTTAATGTCATAAGAAGAGTGAAAAGTGTAATTATTGTTCTTGAGATTTGTTAGGAGTTGACTGGGCAGTATTGTTGGGAGACGGGGCTGATGGTTAGACTGTACATAATTAAGAACAAACTTGTAACAATTTCATTTTTAGAACAATTTTATATAGTAGTGTTATCTATCTAGTTACAGTAGTAAAATTGCAGGAAAAAAGCAGAAAATCACCCGCCTCAGTCTCCCAAAGTGCTGGGATTACAGGCGCGAGCCACTGCACCCGGCCAACAACAGCTATATTTTTACAGTAATCTTCTGCTGATAACTGGCTGATTATCCACCAAGTAAATCTCTTCAGTGATGACAGGTTGAAGCTAAAAAGAAGTAAGGGATGCCTATGAGTCCCATAGAGATAGGTGCATTTGCGTGGGAGACACTTCCCAATGATGTTAAAATCCTAACATGGAGTCAGAGACTTTCCTCCCAGCATGATTTATGTATAACAGTGAATATTAGGAATAATCTAAATGTCTGATTATAGGGAAATGTTTAAGTTTTGATTTAGCTATTTGATGCAATATTGTGAAACCTTTTCGTTTTTTGACATAATACGTTATAATTTTTAAAAAACAGGACGCAATACTATGCAATATTATGTAATTTGCATGGGACAGTGACTAGAACGATATGACTGGGTGCGATGGCTCACTCCTATAATCCCAGCACTTTGGGAGGTCAAGGAGAGTGGATAACTTGAGGTCAGGAGTTTGAGACCAGCCTGGCCAACATGGTGAAACCCCATCTCTACTAAAAATACAAAAATTAGTTGGGCGTGGTGGCGCACGCCTGTAATCCCTGCTACTTGGGTGTCTGAGGCAGGAGAATCGCTTGAACCCGGGAGGCGGAGGTTGCAGTGAGCCGAGATTGCGCCACTGCACTCCAACCTGGGTGACTGAACAAGACTCTCTCAAAAAAAAAAAAAAAAAAAAGAAAGGAAGACAGATAATGTTGCATTGTTCACTTATTCAGTGAAATATATCATAGATATTGAGCCCTCCCCATGCTAAGTGCTAGGAATATAGTGGGGAACAGGAAAAGCATTGGTGTTTTTAATGGAGTTTATGGGTAGGTGATGGGAGAGATGGTTGGAATCAGATAATCACACAAATCTAGCGCTGTTTATTATGTGCATGTCATAAAGAAGAAACATAGTGCTGAAAAGTGTGTCAGTGTGGGGGCAGGGGAGACAGTGAAGCCTTTCCTGAGGAAGTGATATTCGAGCTGAGATTTGATGGGCGAGTAGGTGTCAGATGAAGTGGGGAGAAGAGCGTTCTTTGCAAGGGAAGTAGGATATGCAAAGATACTGTGGTTGGAGGGTGCATGGAATTGAAAGACAGCCGATATAGCTGAACTGTAGACAGGGGTACAATAGGGCAAGAAGAGCTTTACTTTTCAGAGTTTCCTTGTGATTGTATATTACTTTTATACTAAGCAGTCATTTCAAATATATATGCAGGTGGCCATTCTTTTCATCTGTTGTAGAGCTAATCTTGCATAAAGGTGCATTAAGGAAATAAGATTCATTTGGATTTGGAATCAGAGGCAGACTAATACATTATTTATGAGCTTATGAGCTAGATTTATAGGGCACTTTTCCACCAGTGAACTCAGAAAAATATTATAGGTGTGCAATTTATGGTTCAATAAGAAAACAGTCAGAGCAGCAGGCCTTGTGATAGTATCTTTCATGCTTACACTTACTCCAGTCATTAAGTTTGGGATGAAGAAGTTACAACAGCTAACCATTTAGTTCTTGTAGATTCATTTCAAGAGCCTGTCATAGTTGTTTTTTTATAAAAAAGACTTCCTACAGAGGGGAGATTTCAAGTGCTAAGAATATTTTATGATTTTGTTTTAGGTTACAGGAGGTTCCAGTGGCATCGGGAAGTGCATTGCCATTGAGTGCTATAAACAAGGAGCCTTTATAACTCTGGTTGCACGAAATGAGGTGAGGCTTCTAGATTCATTATTACTGACTGACTTCCTCAACTTGAAATTAGTCAAAGAGGCTGTGCTAAACGTCTTAGCATTCACCTAGAAAGCGCTTCTTCCTTGGTGTGAGATGTGTTTCTTGAACTACTGATTCTCTCTTGTATTTAGGCCAAACACTTCTCTATTGAAATCAGGTCGGCCCCACAAGTATTTATTTAGTACCATTGGCATATTAGGCGACAACGTCATAGATACTGCAGATCCTGAGGTGGGAGAGGCCAAGGTCTAGTTTAAGGAGCACACCTGGCCATAGGATGCCAGGGAGGGCCCCTCAGCCAGGCCTAAAGTGCTGGAAGCAGTGATTCTAGAGCTGATATCCGAAGGTGTGTAGGTGTTTCTCTATAATTTTTCCCTATGATTTGCTTAAGACATGATAGATCTCTTTAGTGAAATCTAGACACCAAAGAGGAACCTCGTCCCTCCCTAGAAGTTTAGCAAAATGTGTTTTTCTGTATCAAGTCAACACAGAATCTGTTTTTATTTTTTGTCAGGGCTTGTTTTTGTCTTGCCAAAGTTGTTTTTAGAGCACAAAGCAGTGACACTGTGTGCACGTGAACTGTCATGACGTCCTCTTGCTCCCCATATGGGGACTGGAGGAAAGTGACCTCAGAGCTGGCTCGTCCGCTGCTGCAGTTCTATGCCTGGCATAGTGCTTGGCACATAGCACATGCTCAGACGTGTTTGTTGAATGAAGAAATGATGGAGAGCCTGGGAACGTCAGCGTGGCATACTTCTGTGGGGACCTTGGACTCACCCATGTGCAAGGAGGGTGATAGTATGGTAACTGCTCAAGTGGGTGGAGGGCTGGACAGGACCCAGTGAGAATGGCAGGCCAGGAAGGGCCTTGGGGGGAAATTTAAATAATGTCGCAGACTTAGGCTTGGACCTCTATTATTTCTTTCTTTCTTTTTTTTTTTTTTTTTTTGCATGTCACTCTGTTGTCCAGGCTGGAGTGCAGTGGCATGATCTCGGCTCACCACAACCTCTGCCTCCTAGGTTCAAGTGATTCTCCTGCCTCAGCCTCCTGAGTAGCTTGGACTATAGGCGCACACCACCACACCTGGCTAATTTTTACATTTTTGGTAGAGACAGGGTTTCACCATATTGGCCAGACTGGTCTCGAACTCCTGACCTTGTGATCCGCCCGCCTCGGCCTCCCAAAGTGCTGGGATTACAGGTGTGAGCCACTACGCCTGGCCTGGACGTCTGTAATTTCTTTTACAAACCAAGAACGGCAAAATTAGCTACCTTATATTTATAGCTTGACTTTTCTAACAATGAATTTGCTTTGGCATTGAAGCCACTTTACATAAATGAAAACACAAATTTAATGAAATGGCATTTTGTGAGTTTTAAACACCAGTTTTGATGCAAGTAAATAAAAGTGGAGGCAGAGAAGGCCAGCATTTCAGGCCCTCAGGAGCTCACATGGGGCCTTTGCATTGCTAGAAATGAATGAGCTGAATGAAGAACCTGTGGTGTTGAGTCATTCGTTCTTTTTTTTTTTTTTTTTTTTTTGAGTCACGGTTTCGCTCTGTAACCCAGGCTGGAGTCCAGTGGTGCGATCTTGGCTCACGTACCCTCTGCCTCTAGAACACCTGGGATTACAGGTGTGTGTGACCACACCTGGCTAATTTGTGTGTGTGTGTGTGTGTGTGTGTGTGTGTATATATATATATGTATTTTTTCTTTTTTTAGTAGATACGGGGTTTTACCACGTTGGCCAGGCTGGTCTCAAACTCCTTACCTTAAGTGATCCACCTGCCTCGGCCTCCCAAAGTGTTGGGATTACAGGCATGAGCCACTGCACCTGGCCTCACTCTGTCGCCCAGGCTGGAGTGCAGTAGCACAATCTCGGCTTACTGCAACCTCTGCCTCCCAGGCTCAAGCAATCCTCTCACTTCACCCTCTTGAGTATCGGGGACCACAGGTGCTCGCCACCACGCTTGGCTAAGTTTTTGTATTTTTGGTAGAGACGGGGCTTCGCTCTGTTGCCCAGGCTGGTCTCAAACTCTTGAGCTCAGGTGATCCACTCACCTTGGCCTCCCAAAGTGCTGGGATTACAGGGGTGAGCCACCATGCCTGGCTGAAAAATTCTTTCTTTTCTAATGTAATTTTTAATTCCAGTCTTTGCAAAGTCAAGCTGTATGTATCTTTAGTCGTAGGACAATATTATTTCATTATAGACATATTCAGGTTTAGAAACCCTGCATTACCTTTTGGAAGATTTCGCTTACACTTTGGTTCCTCTCTATTGCATGATATTATTTAAGTTACTTTTTACAGCAAATTAAGAAACTATAATCTGATACCTGTTTTCTTGTGATTAAGTAAAACAAACAAAATTAGGACCTTGGAAGAATTACACAATTACACGGGTAACCTTGCTTAAGAGTATTTTATAGTAGCCAGGCCTAGTTTACCCAGTCTATCCAGAAAGTGATTCTTACTATGTTTGGTTTTATAATAGAAGAAAATATTGGACAAAAAGCACTGTTGACAAGGAGTCACACATACCCTCAACTTTGGGGAGCACTGCATATTAATAGAGTTGTTCTTTTCTTATATCACAACTAAATAATAAGACATTTATTAGAACTGTAGAGTCAGCCTCAGCAATGAGTACTGTTAACAAGGGTTTTGAGGTTTATCAGTTTTTCTATTATCATTCTCTGTAATTAATTTTCAAACTTATTATCACTTATTCATAGCTTAGCATACTTCACATCTTCTTCCTTTTATAGGCTGTGGCCCGGTCTGTCTATGCAATGTAGATACCGTTTAGTGTGTTTTCTGGAATTTAATACATACACATAGAAATAATTGCTTGTTTTCTCTCCTTGACAATAAACAGACATGCCTATAGATAATCACCAGGACTAATTGTTCTGTATTGCTTTCAGGATAAGCTGCTGCAGGCAAAGAAAGAGATTGAAATGCACTCTATTAATGATAAACAGGTAAATCTCTGTCTTCAGAATGCATTTTCTGTATAGCTCAGCACAGTTGTGTAAAGGAAAAACAGGGCTACTTCCATTGTGAATAGCTAATGGAAAGCATATATGATTTTCCCAATTAAAAACATATTGTACTGTTTTTTAAAAGGTGGAATTGTTTGAATTGTCTAGTAACTCAGAATATCACACACACACACAAAATGAATAGACTCCCTCACACATTCATATCTACAAATGGTCAAATAACAGAATGTTTTACTGGCAAAGAATTTCATTTTAATTATTTATTTAAATGAACTTTAGACAAATGCGTAAGAAGACAGGAATCTTTAAAATTTATTTGGTTATGGAATTTTTGATGAATATAATGATGTTTATATTTCAGTATAAAACGTAGTAACAAAATTAATAATCACACAGCCATCACCCAGACTAAGAGGTAGAAATGATCAGGGTCTCTGAAGCCACCTCTATGCCCCACAGCAGCCTTGTCCCTCTTTTCTCATTCCTGGAGGGACAAACGCCAACGCAATTTTTTGCGTTGATGCTTTCTTTGTTTGTTTTTTTTTCTTTCTTTTTTTTTTTTGAGACAGTGTCTCACTGTCATCCAGGCTGGAGTGCAGGTATGCGATCTCAGCTCACTGCAGCCTCCACCTCCTGGACTCAAGCAATCCTCCCACCTCAGCCTCCCTAATAGCTGGGATTATAGGCACGTGCCATCATGCATGGCTAATTTTTGTATTTTTGGTAGAGATGGGGTTTTCACCATGTTGCCCAGGCTGGTCTTTAACTCCTGGGCTCAAGCGATCTGCCTACCTCTGCCTCCCAAAGTGCTGGGATTATAGGAGTGAGCCACTGTGCCCTGCCTCTTTTTCTTTTTAATTTTACCATATATGCACATGACTCTACATAATAATATATTCTTTAGTTCTTTTTTTTTGTTTTTTTTTACTGAGATGGAGTCTCTCTCTGTCACCCAGGCTGGAGTGCAGTGGCGCCATCTTGGCTCACTGCAACCTCCACCTCTTGGGTTCAAGAGATTCTCCTGCCTCAGCCTCCCGAGTAGCTGGGATTACAGGTGCATGTCACCACGCCTGGCTAATTTTTTTTTGTATTTTTACTAGAGATGGGGTTTTACCATGTTTGTCAGGCTAGTATTGAACTCCCGACCTCAGGTGATCTGCCTTCCTTGACCTCCCAAAGTACTGAGATTATAGGTGTGAGCCACTGTGCCTGGCCAATATATTTAGTTCTACTTCTTTTATTATATCATTCTTATTTTTCAGCAGCTTTATGAAATACAATTTACATACCATACAGTTGACCCATTTAAAGTATATGATTCAATGATTTTTAATATATTCCTAGAGTTGCGCAACTATCACCAGAATCAATTTTGGAACGTTTTCCTCACCCCATGAAGAATCTCCATCTGTATTAGCAGTCACTTGCCATTTCCTCCCAGCCTCCTCTCAGCTACGCAGTCACTCATCTACTTTCTTTCTCTATAAATTTGTATAACTTCATTCTTTATGCTTCTTATGCAACTTGATTTCTTCACTCAATATTATTTATTTATTTTGAAATGGAGTCTTGCTTTTGTTGCCCAGGCTGGAGTTCAGTGGCGTGATCGCAGCTCACTGCAACCTCTGCCTCCCGGGTTCAAGCCTTAGCTTCCTGAGTAGCTGGGATTACAGGTGTGCACCACTACACCTGGCTAATTTTTGTATTTTTAGTAGAGACAGGGTTTTACCATGTTGGTCAGGCTGGTCTCGAACTCCCAACCTTGTGATCCGCCCGCCTCAGCCTCCGAAAGTGCTGGGCTTACAGGCGTGAGCCACCACGCCCGGACCACTCAATACTATTTTTAAGGCCAGGCGCAGTGGCTCATGCTTGTAATCTCAACATTTTGGGAGGCTGAGACGGGCAGATCACTTGAGATCAGGTCTTTGAGATCAGCCTGGACAATGTGGTGAAACTGTGTCTCTACTAAAAATATAAAAAATTAGCTGCGCCTGTAATCCCAGCTACTCAGGAGGGAGGCTGAGGCAGGAGAATCGCTTAAATCTGGGAGGCAAAGCTTGAGGTGAGCAAAGATCGCAGCACTGTACTCCTTGGGTGACAGAAGGAGACTCCATCTCAAAAAAAAAAAAAATTTTATATATATATATATAAAATTTGAAAAATTCATTTATGTTGCTGTATAAAGTTGGAGTTCATTTTTTTTTTTTTTACTACTATATAGTATTCCATTGTATGTATAGACCACATTTTGTTCATCAGTTCAGCAACTGGTGGATATTTAGGTGGTTCCCAGTAGTTTTGTTAGTTTGTTTTATTTTTTACTATTAGAAAAGCTTTCACTATTCTCTTTGTGCACACGTGCAAGAATGGTACATACCCAGAAAAGGAATTGCAGAGCTGTAGTGTATGCAGTTGTTCAACCTCACCAAAGTGGTTAAGCTCCCACAAGTAGGACTGTGGTTCCTGTTGTGCCACATCCCTGCCAATACTTGGTATTGACAGACTTTTTACTTTTTGCCTTTCTGATGAGTTTTAAATAGTATTTCACTGTGGTGTTCATTGACTTTTTCCCCTCCAGAGTGTTAGAGATCTTTAAGTAAATTTGCCTTAAATTGCTCCTGCCTAGGATTGAAGTACACCAGAGCTTGTTCCATCAGTTCCCTCCTATTGAGCTGTTTCCATTCTTTTTATTTTATTTTGTATTTTTATCTTTGCAATTGCAGTCTGTGCTGCAGGTAAAAATCCTTGTGTACATCTTCTGCACACGTGAGTTTTTCCTCTAGGACTGTGGTCTTTACCCCCCTTCTCTGAAGCCCACAAGCATTGGAAAAACAGCAGCTCTGTAAATTGCCCCATTTTTTCCCGTATTCCTGTAATATCTGATAGAGGAAGGAGTATGGTGTGAAGCCAGGAGTCAGTGTTCAGGGCCTAGGCCAGTCTTGCCTGCTGCCAACACTGTCTCTGCTCTGGGCTTCCTCATCATGCCACCTTCTACCTCTTCATCTGCCAAAGGGCTTTAGATCAGGTGGGAAACTTATCTTTCACATCAAGGAAGGGAGATGGAGATAAGGCTGGGGCAGGCGAGAATGAGCTTGATCCTTGTTATGCCCTGCCAGGCTTCTAGGGACCTTTGTGTGTGTGTGTGTGTGTGTGTGTGTGTGTGTGTGTGTGTGACTTGTTAACATTTTTTTGTTTTGAAATTTCACTTGTCTGTGGCATAGATTTTATTTATAGTAACTGGTCTAATACTGTATGAAAAGGCATGTTTTAAAATTAATCATATGATTACTACTGCCCTTTTTTTTTTTCTTTGAGACAGAGTCTCACTCTGTCACCCAAGCTGGTGTGCAGTGGCGCAATCTCGGCTGACTGCAGCCTCTATCTTCCGGGTTCAAGCAATTCTCCTGCCTTAGTCTCCCCAGTAGCTGGGATTACAGGTGCCCGCCACCACGCCAGGCTAATTTTTTGTATTCTTAGTAGAGGCGGGGTTTCACCATGTTGGCCAGGCTGGTCTCGAACTCCTGACCTCAAATGATCTACCTGCCTCAGCCTCCCAAAGTGCTGGGATTACAGGTGTAAGCCACCATGCCTAGCCAATTACTACTACCTTTAAAACAATGTTTTCTATCTGAGGATGTTGGGATAAAATCCACTCTAGGTATACATTACAACCAAGGGCAACCCATCTACACTAGAATGTGCAGGTTATATTTGCAGGGAGGGCTGTTTCCTTTTCTTAGGAATTTTGATCATTTGGACAGGATTCTTCTTTGAAGGAATCAGCACTGAGGCCCTGATATGGAATATTTCCATCACTCCCCAGGGTCGGCCTGTGCCCTTTCACAGTTCCTTCCGTCCCTCATGCCTGGCTGTGGGCAACCCCTTATCTGCCTTCTGTCACTATAGATTAGTGGCGTTTCAAGAGGAGCATTTATATATTTTTAAAAAGATTCTTCAGAGTTTTAACTCCAAAAATTGCCAAGAAAATTAGATTCTACGAATTGCATCATCAGCAAACACTGAAATCTGTTCATTCAATATTGGCTTCCTTCTGTATTCAATGAATTATCTTTTCTTTAAAAATATCTTTAAAAAATAGTTTGGTACCTGCAAAACTTTGATCACTTTTTTTCTTTTTTCACAGGTGGTGCTTTGCATATCGGTTGACGTATCTCAAGACTATAACCAAGTAGAGAATGTCATAAAACAAGTAAGAGGTTGGGCTAATTGGAATTCACCAATGTGCTTGACTTTTGATTTGTTCTTGCCATTTTGCTATGTGGCTTGGAATGGGCACAACTTCTCTATAGGTTTAATAGTTTTGTAAATTTTATTTATCAGCATGGATTTGCTGCTGAGTGGTTTTTCTTCTCTGTTTCTTAATGCCTGTTCTGCTACATTTTTCTAGGCACAGGAGAAACTGGGTCCAGTGGACATGCTTGTAAATTGTGCAGGAATGGCAATGTCAGGAAAATTTGAAGATCTTGAAGTTAGTACCTTTGAAGTAAGTAAAAATGTTTACTCACCGGAGTAGCACATACACTAAAAGCAGAGCAAGCCACGGGTAAAAGCTTTAAGAATCAATTAGATGAATGCATTCAGATGTCCATGGAAGCTTTAGAAGACTCTGGAGGAAGGCTGAACAAGGTGAAGCTGAGCAAGGTTTTCGTTCCAGTGTCATGACCATTGAACCTTAAGAGTTTAGACATTTTATAGCTGAGAAAACCAGCAGAAATGGGAATGGAACTTCTGATCTGACACAGATTACTGTAGCAATTCACTGAGGTCATATTTTCAAGAGAGTACTTTGTAACCTGAGAGATGCTGGATCATGTCAGACATCAGTATTATTAACAAGGAGAAACCAAAAAAGTTGAAGAACAGACTCACTAGGGTTCTCAAATCAATATAAAAAGATACTGCATCTTATTGATGTTTATATTTTTAATCAGGTTTACCAAGGAACTTCTCTTGGTTATTTATTTCAGCACCAAAGAAATGAACATTAGATTTGAAATTTTTTTTTTTTCTTTTTTCAAGATGGAGTCTCACTCTATTGCCCAGGCTGGAGTGCAGTGGCATGATCTCCGCTCACTGCAACCTCCACCTCTCAAGTTCAAGTGATTCTCCTGCCTCAGCCTCCCTAGTAGCTGGGATTACAGGCACATGTCAGCACACCTAGCTAATTTTTTTTATTTTAGTAGAGATGGTTTTTGCCATGTTGGCCCAGCAGGTGTCAAACTCCTGACCTCAAGTGCTCAAGTGATTGGCCCACCTCGGCCTCCCAAAGGCTGGGAGTACAGGCATGAGCCACCACACCTGGCCTGAAATGTTTTAAAAATGGAAAACGTTTTTTAGTTGCTAGTGCATCAACAGTCTTTTTCTTTTCTTTCTTTTTTTTGAGACAGAGTCTTGCTCTGTCACTGAGGCTGGAGTACAGTGGTGCAATCTTGGCACACTGCAACCTCTGCCTCTCGGGCTCAAGCAATTCTCATGCCTCAGCCTCCCGAGTAGCTGGGACTACAAGCACCCACCACCATCCTCAGCTAATTTTTGTATTTTTGGTAGAGACGGGGTTTCACCGTGTTGGCCAGGCTGGTCTGGAACTGCTGACCTTGTGATCCATCTGCCTTGGCCTCCCAAAGCGCTGGGATTACAGGAGTGAGCCCCCACACCCAGCTCAAAATCTGAAACTGTTTGAGTGCCAACATAATGCTCAAAGGAAATGCCTCTTACGGCATTTCGGGTTTCAGATTTTCAGATTAGGGATGCTGAACCAATAAGTACAATACAATATTCCAAAATCCAAAAAAACCCAAATCCAAAACACTTCTTGTTCCAAGCATTTTCGATAAGGGACACTCAACCTGTTGAGTGCACTCACAGTTGGTGCATTTTCTCATGATAGGAAATGATTTTTATTTAAAATGAATTCTATCTCAGTTATATGTTTGCTTTATTATTTTCAGTTTTTAATTTAATTGAAGTTCACTTGCATGTAAAATGCCTGTACACACGCTGGGCGTGGTGGCTCATGCCTGTAATCCCAGCAGTTTCAGAGGCCGAGGTGGGTGGATCATTTGAGGTCAGGAGTTTGAGACCAGCCTGGCCAGCATGGTGACACCCCGTCTCTACTAAAAATACAAAAATTAGCTGGACGTGGTGGTGTGCACCTATAGTCCCAGCTGCTTGGGAGGCTGAGGCAGGAGAATCGCTTGAACCTGGGAGACGGAGGTTGCAGTGATCCGAGATCATGCCCCTGCACTCCAGCCTGGGCAACAGAGCGAGACTTTGTCTCAAAAAATAAATAAATAGATACAATGAAATGCCTGTACACAGTACTTTGGCATGTGTGAGAATTAAGCACGTCCTGTGTGACTCCACTGGGCAACGACTGTTGGAACTCGCACCTGGTTTCTTCTGGACTTTTCTCTCTGTGTCTTTTCCCTTTGCTGATTTGGCTTTGCATCCTTTCCCTGTAATAAGTCTTAGTCCTGAGCAGGACCATCTGCTGAGAACTTACACCTTCTAGTGAATCATCAGCCTGGGCATGGTCTTGGGGAATCCCAATACTCTTCCCTTAATTTTCCTTTTCATGCTTTTCTTTGTGGTTTCTTGGTGCTATCTCCCCTCTTATCTCCCTGTAGATGTTAAGAATTCTTTTGTCCTTCATTGTCTCTGCGTTGTACCTGTGTTTACTGTGTTTACTTTCTCTCAGAGGCCAGTGGCTCTGTCTTTGGTGTGAGAGAGTTCACTGGGAGTCTGGAGGCCCTTGGCTGTGTTTTCACATTTCAGAATCAGGCCCTAACAAGGTGACTGGGACTTCTTTGCTTGTTTGTGGACCTGTTTGACAATGGATCCTTTGGAAGGGTGATTGTGTGGTCATATCTGTGGGCCGTAGTTTCAATGTCATTATCTGTAAATCTTTTCTCTTAGGTTGGTCAGAAGCCCTGAGGAGTGTCTTCCAGCCTCCTGTGACAATAAAGCTGGGGAGAGTGGTGTTGTCTTTGTGTGCACTGTCTAGGCAGACTTTCTCTTAAACCTCTTTATCCAGACCTACTTTCCCTAGAAACGGAACCTGCAGTCTCCTGCCAGGCTGGAAGAGGGATACAGATCTGCCCTGCGGAGAGGGGAAAGGCATCTAAGATCTAACTCCTTTTTTTTTCATTGTCCTACATTCTTTTTTTTAATTGAGGTGAAATTCATATAACATTAAATTAACCATTTTTAAAGTGAGCCGTGCAGAGGCATTTAGCACATTCACAATGCAGTGCCACCACCACCTCCGCCTACTTCTGAAACAAACGCATCACCCACAGGGCAGCCCTCACCTGGTAAGCAGTTGCTCCCCATCCCTGCTCATCCCCACACCCGATCTCTGACAACCACCAAACTGTATTCTGTCTCTGGTAATTTAGTATGATTGGAATCGTGATACGTGCCCTTCTATGTGTGGCCTCTTTCTCTTGGCATCATGTTTTTGAGGCTCATCCCACATGTAGCATATATGGGTACTTCATTCCTTTTTATAGGGCGATAATATTCTGTTGTATGGATTGACCACATTCTGTTTAGCTAGTCATCGTCAATGGTCATTTGGGCTGTTTCTAGCTGATTGCTTATTAAGTAGACTCTTAGTCCCTACTCCTGTCTCAGCCCCATGCCGGCCCACCTTTCCCTCCATCCCAGAGACTCTTGTGGCTGGAGCCTTTTGGGGTTCTGTGGTAGAATCTGGCTTTTTAGTTTCTCCACTCCCCGCTTAGGTTTTAGTTTTTTGTGGTCTGCTAAGTTAGTTACCCCTCGTCAGTCTGTTCTTCAGCTTCCAAAAGGTTATTGCTGTTATTTTTATTCCTGTTTTCTTTGTTCTTGTGGGTTCTTGCCTTAAAAAAAGAGTCTCTTTGCTGAGATTTTAGCGAGGTTTCTAAAGGGAGCTGAGGTAAACACGTGTGTTCAGTGTGCCATCGTTTTCCAAATATTCTTTTAGAACCTTTTTTTTTTTTTTTTTTGGAGTCTCGCTCTGTCACTCAGGCGGGAGCTCAGTGGCTCAATCGTGGATCACTGCAACCTCCACTTCTCAGGCTCAAGCAATTCTCCTGCCTTAGCCTCCCGAGTAGCTGGGATTACAGGTGCCCACCACCATGCCTGGCTAATTTTTTTTTTTGTATTTGTAGTAGAGATGGGTTTTCACCAAGTTGGTCAGGCTGGTCTTGAACTCCTGACCTCAGGTAATCCACCTACCTCGGCCTCCCAAAGTGCTGGGATTATAGGCATGAGCCACTGTGCCTGGCTTAGAACATTTTTATTATCAAAACAATATCATGTTATTAAAACACGTTTTTGGAAAAAAATGAGAATCCCAGCATCCTAACTCAGTCAGTTATGATCTTCTCTACTTCTTTGGTCTTCTCTCTGAGCATGTGTGCTTTTACTTAACCTTTGAAGTAATTACAGTTACAGCATGCATACAGTCTGGCTTCTGCTTTTTAAACTTAAATAGCATAGATATTTTTCCCTGTCACTTCCAGTGTTTCTGGTCATCATTTAAAAAAATTATCTAGGCCTGGCACAGTGGCTCACACCTGTCATCCCAACACTTTGGGAGGCCGAGGTGGGCAGATCACCTGAGGTCAGGAGTTTGAGACCAGCCTGCCCAACATGGCAAAACCCTGTGTCTACTAAAAATGCAAAAAATTAGCCAGGCTTAGTGGTGGGTGCTTGTAATCCCAGCTGCTCTGGAGGCTGAGGCAGGAGAATCGCTTGAACCCGGGAGGCAGAGGTTGCAGTGAGCCAAGATCACACCACTATACTCCACCCTTGGCGACAAGAGCGAAACTCCGTCTCAAACAAAAACAAACAAAATCTAATATTCTCTTGAATTAAAATATTATGATTGTATGTTCATGTTCTGTCCATAATATGAAAAAGAGTTATGATTGATCTCAAGTTCCACAATTGAGGTATTTAGTTTTTATTTACATGCTGATCTAATATTTTTACAAATATTTGAATATTTGAAACATTTTAATGCACGGGTTATTAGATTTTCAAGTTAAAATTTAAGGTTTTTAAGAGCTCGGGCTAGACACAGTGGCTCCTGCCTGTAATTCCATCACTTTGGGAGGTCAAGGCAGGAGTATTGCTGGAGCCCAGGAGTTCAAGACCAGCCTAGGCAAAATAAGAGGACCCCGTCATTACAAAAAATACAAAAATTAGCTGGGCGTGGTGGCATGTGCCTGTAGTCCCATGTACTCAAGAGGCTGAGGCAAGAGGATTGCTTGAGCCCGGGAGATTGAGACTGCAGTGAGCCAAGGTTGCACCACTGCACTTCAACCTAGGTGAGCCAGTGAGACCCTGTCTCTGAAAAAAAAAATGATAATAGTAAAAAAGCAATAAATAAATAAATAAAAATTAAAAGCTTGCAAGTTAAGGAGAAAATATACTACTAGTACTCTTACCCATCCAAGGTTGCTCCACTGCACTTCAACCTGGGTAAGCGAGTGAGACCCTGTCTCTAAAAAAAAAAAAAACGATAATAGTAAAAAAGCAAAAAATAAATAAATAAAAATTAAAAGCTTAAGTTAAGGAGAAAATATACTACTAGTACTCTTACCCATCATAATGGGAGAGCCAGTGGTTCTTGAGACCCAGAGCTGTGCTAGCGCTTACCTTGTGTTTTTTCTTTTAATCCTTGCAACAGCCCTATGCGGTCATACCCATATTAACCTTGTTTTCAGCTGAGAAAATGAGTAGAATGTCTGACTTGCTTTTTCATCATCAAATAGGCAATAAGTGGGAGAGCCAAGGCTTGAAACCAAAACTTTTAATCACCCTCCTACTCTGTTTGTGCTTTTCTTATTGCTTAAAACAATAGGGCTACAAATACTTGGAAGTTCTTTCCTAAAAAGGTCTTTCAGAAAGTACTACCCACAAACATGCAGTATACTTTTTATAAGGAGAAAACTAACTTTGACCAGTTTTCAGGAAAAATGTAGCTGCTGTCATGGTCAGAATGCAAGACTAGACTGACACAGGCTTCAAATGGTAGGTCCCGATCCTTCAAATAATGGTAGGTCTCAAATCACATTTCATTTATAGCAAAATGTCATCAGTCGTTCATTCAGTAAGCCTGTTGAGCTGCCCAGTCACTTGAGCATGCATTGAAGAACTGAAATCCAGAAAGCAGACTACATTCTCCATGAGCACAGCCTTGAGGCTTTTGACCTCATGCACTCCTCATGTGGCCTCTTTGTTCCCTGCAGAGGTTAATGAGCATCAATTACCTGGGCAGCGTGTACCCCAGCCGGGCCGTGATCACCACCATGAAGGAGCGCCGGGTGGGCAGGATCGTGTTTGTGTCCTCCCAGGCAGGACAGTTGGGATTATTCGGTTTCACAGCCTACTCTGCATCCAAGTTTGCCATAAGGGGATTGGCAGAAGCTTTGCAGATGGAGGTAAAATGTATTCATTTTTGTATGTATTCCTCTCCGCTCAACAATATACATTCCACTTTAGTTTTGTAGCTTCTTTACATTTGCTGTTGTATTAAATTAGAGATTTTTAGATTTGACATTAGTGAAAGAGAATTGGCTCAACCCTGAGTTTTACAGTTAACATTTTTCGTTGCATGAAGATTATAGTTACAACAGATGCAAAATGGTAATGGGATTTTTGCTTGTTTAATTTAATACGCAAAATACTAGTAATATCTTCATAGTGTTATTGGTCTAATACTGTGTGAATGTGAGTAAGGTTAACCAGATACTTTATTTTATAGAGATTTTTCTTTAACAAAGATTGTCCGTATGACTGAATAACACATGAAATTAGTACATGTTTGAGGGAAGAGCTTGAATCAGCTGCTAATTTTTAGCTTTTAGACAAGTCATTTAACTTGCTCTCAGTTTCCTCATCTGTAAAATGGGAGGGTTGGAATAAAGCAATAATTTGACTCTCCCAGTATTTATATTTTTATATCTTAAAGAAATGTTGGGAAAATGAATGCTTTTTATTTATATAGTTAATAGAACATTTTGTGGAAGAAGGGTGTAGTTAGCATTTGCATCAAAATAGCGTTTGTCATGATGAGCGCAACTTTGCATCTCAGCTGCATGAAGCCGACTTCCACATTATTGTCACACAGGAATGCTTAGAGAGCCTCACATACGTATCTACCCAAAAATCACATGCAGAAAAAGGCAGGGTAAAGTTCTTTCCATTGCTCTGTACAGTCGTCCCCTCTTATCCACAAGGGATGTGAGCTAAGACCTCCAGTGGATGCCTAAAATGTTAAGAGCCCGGAAGGGTATTGACTGTGGCCAACCCTCTTATAGTAAGAGTGTGCTTTTGGGAATCCTGGTTGATGATTTAGATCAGGGGTTGACAAAACTTTCACCAAAGAGCAGACAGTACATATGTTAGGTTTTAAAGGCTGAATGGTAGCTAATACAGCTACTTAAGTCAGCTGTGATAGCAGGAAAGCGGTCTTAGTAGACAATGTGTAAATGAACAGTTGTCACTGTGTTCCAATAAAACTTTACTTATAAAAAACAGGCAGAGGGCCAGATCTGGCTCATGGGCCATAGTTTGCTGACCCCTATTTAGAAGACCCCCATAAGAGACCTTGATGGTGTGTGATAGAGCACCACATTGGTTAGATATGGGACGAGTGTTGCAGTACAGATGAGTTGCTGGGACAGCGACAGCCCCTATGTGCCACGTAGGGACTGAAAGACCATGCCATTCTCATACCAAAGGAACCAGCCACAGATTTTGTTGTTATAAATTGGCCTAATACTCTTAATAAGAGATAGTTATAATATGCTTAGCCAATAGGACTGATGACTGTGAAATTTCAAAAAAGAATACTGGTATTTCTTTTGAAGTTTTCAAATTTGAAAAGTCCTTTTGTGAATACCTGTTTTATTTATTTTTATTTTATTTTATTTTTTTAGAGACAGCGTCTCACTCTGTCACCCAGGCTGGAGTGCAGTGGCCCAATCATAGCTCACTGTAACCCTGAGCTCCTTGGCTCAAGTGATCCTCCTGTCTCAGCCTCCCAAGTAGCTAAGACCACAGGTGCACACCACCACGCCTGGCTAATTTTTAAAATTTTTTGTAGAGAAGGGGTCTCACTGTGTTGCCAAAGCTGGTCTCAAACGCCTAAGCTCAAACAATCTTCTGGCTTTAGCCTCCCAAAGTGCTGGGATTACAGGTGTGAGCCAGCACACCCAGCCACCATTTTATTTTTATCACAGTTTTGTAAAATATGTGAGGGAGATGTTGTAATGCCACCTAATGAGAGGAAAACCCCATTTTCAATACATTCAGTGTGTTGCTCGAAGTCACATACTTAGTGACAGAAATCATAACACGATCCAAGCCTTGACTCCAGGTCTGCTGTCCTTTTGCAGCAGATGATGCGTCCAGCTAGTTGGTTCACCTGGCTGGTTGCCTCGGCCCTTTACTTTGGTCTTAGGATCTGTGTAGGTGAAGGGGTGTTTGCGGGATGAAGAATCTGCCCATTAGGACTTTTTGCAGAGCTGTGTCAGCATTCACTGATTTAGAGCGAAGTGTACAATCGGGGTGGCCTGGTTTCACTTCAAGTAGAACAGAGATGCTAAAAAAGAGGAAAAAGAAAGTGGATTGCTGGTATAGATGGAGCCCCCCAATCTCTGTGACAAGTGTGATTTGCATACTGCAAGTAGCCGGTCTGCACACTCAAGTCTGCATGACTTCTGTCCTTATTTGGACTCTATTAAAAATGCCCTCACTTAAAAAAAAGAAAATAAAATGAACGTATCCCATAAAAAAATAGGTTCTGGGGAAAAGAAATGCAGTCATCAAAATCTAGTTTGTTCGTAGTAGAACTTGCATCAAACCAATTACTGTGACCCTACAGTAATTATAGTCGCATTTTTTTGAAACCTGGATAATTTGGTCAAGGTAGGTGTGTTTTTTGTCAATGAAATCTTATGTAATTGCTCAAACTCTAAATACTTTTTTTTTTTTTTAATTTTTATTTTCTGGAGATAGTCTTGCTTTGTTGCCCAGAATGGAATGCAGTGGTTTGATCTTGGCTCACTGTAGCCTCCACCTCCTGGGCCCAAGCAGTCCTCCCACCTCAGCCTCCCAAGTAGCTGGGACTACAAGTGTGTCCTACCATGCCTTGCTGGGTTTTTTTTTGTTGTTCGTTTATTTTTTACTTATTTTATTTAATTTTTTTGTAGACATGGGTTCTCGCTATGTGGCCCGGGCTGGTCTTGAACTCTTGGACTCAGGTGATCCACCTACCTTGGCCTCCCAAAGTTCTTCGATTATAGGCGGTGTGAGCCACTGCGTCTGGCCTCTAAATATTTGTAACAATTCTTTGGATTTAATTAACTTTGAAGTCTCTCTGTCCACCTCCCTTTGCCCCCAAACTAAGGTAGGACCCTGGCATTGTTATGGGTACCATGAGTAATTTTGAAAGAATGCATCGTTGGCACTTTTTGGTCTTTTTTTACTCAGTCTTTTAGGAAGAAATGTAAAGATTTTAAAAGTTCATCTTTTGGAAAACAGACTTCTGAGGTGTGGTATAGCTAAAGATGCGGTAGCAGAGACCAAGCCAAAAACAAAAAAAAAATTGATGCTCCCTTTTCTGCTTTTCTTACCCTGATCATGCCCCTCTCCTCCCATCTCTTCCCTCTGTGGTCTGAAAGTAAGTTAAAGCTTAAATTCCGGAGTTTCGTGTACACAGCCGTAATCTTTCCAGCCCCCACCGTCTTTGTTTTGATGGAATGGGGAACAGCACATCCTGTGTGGATTATTTTAATAACAAATCTGTGTTTGTTTGGTTTTTTTTGAGACAGAGTCTCACTCTGTCACCCAGGCTGGAGTGCGGTGGCGTGATCTTGGTTCACTGCAACCTCTGCCTCCCTGGTTCAAGCGATTCTCCTGGCTCAGCCTCCTAAGTAGGTGGCATTCCAGGTGCCCACCACCACGCCTGGCTAATTTTTGTATTTTTGGTAGAGATGGGGTTTCACCATATTGGCCAGGCTGGTCTTACACTCAGGTGATCTGCCCGCCTTGGCCTCCCAAAGTGCTGGGATTACAGGTGTGAGCCACTGCACCCGGCCCACAAATCGGTTTTTGAACAAGTGGTCAGTTGTCTTTCTGTTTGAGGTTGAGGCCAGAGAGAAGGGAGGAAGTAATAGGATGGGCGTGGGGCAGAGTGAGGGACACAGAGAATGGTCAGGCAACAGGGATGAGGAGAAGCAGTGACCAGGCAGCAGGGGACTCAGTGAGGACTTGGCTCCTCTGTTCTTAGAGAGAGTGGTGATCTCAGGGAGCTAGCATTGTCTTATAAGAACAGGTAAAGCCAGACTGCCCTCATTTTTGTTTATGACAGGGTTATGAGCTCAGTAGATTAAAAGAAGGTGTAGATGTGGTTTAGTATATTCAGATTTTAGCAAATTATTTGACCAAGAGTTTCAGGAAACTAGAATCTTACCCTTATGTTTTGTTCTTAGAACAGTACTGGCATGTAGAAGTAATTCAATACGTGCTCGTTGTTGCATGAATAAATAAAAGAATATGCAAATGGTGAGGTGACTAGCCACTGGAGGTATCCAGCCAGAGACTGGGAGAGTCATTTGGTTGGATGGCGTAGCGACAATACCAATCTAGAAGCGATTGGACTGGTTTCTCCCAAGCCCAGCAATCTGTCTTCCTACCTCATGAAGAAGCTGCTCTGAAAAGCTGTTTTAACCTTTGGCAATGCAGCCATAACCTTGATTTTGAGAAGCACTGCTCTGTAATCCTGTCTTCCATTAGCTTTGGAGCCAGCATCCTCTTTTACCATGAGAGAGAAGGCAGAGGGGCAGCGCAATCGTGAGTTTCTGGCCAGTCAGTGTCAGTCTTGATGTGGGCTGCCTAATGACAACTCGCTGGAATTTTTGTGGTGTTTTTCTCTGGTCAGTGCACAGTGGAGGGCAAGGCTGGGGAAGACGAGGTTTTCCTAAGTCACTATCTCAAAAACAAGTGGAAGCGAGTTTCTGGCTCATCTGCTTCATTACCTGGCCCCAGTCCAGAGCTATTTATGAGCATGGCTGGGCTGTGAAGCTGCATGCCCTGGCGATGCCCAGTGGATGGGCTGTCCCACGCCCTAATTGCGCTGGAATGGAACCCACAAAGACATCTCACTTTCACGACTGCACTTTCCAGGATGGCTGGCCTGGATCTTCTGCTTGCAGGCCTGTGCGTGCTTCTCCTTCCCCTTGCAGCTTCCCTTAAAGCCCTCAAAACTGCTTCACTGAAGGAACTAGGGAAGAAAAGGGCTGCATGAGATGAGACTCTGGGCTACTCTTTTTTTTTTTTTGAGATGGAGTCTCCCTCTTGTCACCCAGGCTGGAGTACAGTGGTGTGATCTCAACTCACTGCAACCTGCGCCTCCCGGGCTCAAGCAATTCTTCTGCCTCAGCCTCCCGAGCAGCTGGGATTACAGGCACCCACCACCAAACCCAACTAATTTTTGTAGTTTTGCTAAAGACAGGGTTTCACCATGTTGGCCAGGCTGGTCTCGAACTCCTGACCTCAGGTGATCCGCCCGCCTTGGCCTCCCAAAATGTTGGGATTATAGGCATGAGCCACCGTGCCCGGCCCCTGGGCTACTCTTAAAGGCCGTCACATTAGGCAGTGTGGTGTTGATTTTCAGCCTAGGGTACCCTCCTGAAGATGTGCAGTGGCTGATCTGTCAGCTGCCTCTCTGCTTCCAGATCCCTTAGGTGTGTTCCTAGGGATGAAAAAGTGAGCCAATACCAAATAAAAATCATGGCAAAGAGATTTTCATGGTATGAACCATTGCTCTTAGAGTTGCTAATTGGCAGGGCGAGATAAGTGTGTGCAGCAGGGCTGTGGCTGAGCAATCTGTGGGAGGGTGTGTCCTGGCCAACAGCAGAAGAATCTGCTGGAATTGTTGGGGTTGTGTGTGTGAGTGGGGGTGTGAAGCGCAAAGTGTGCAGGCGAGGTGGTGAGGCACACAAGTGTAACAACCTACTCCAAGTGTCAGATTGAGAGGAGCCACACAGAGTTTCAGATAAGGCGGAGGGCTTTCCCTATGTGAATGCAGGTTGAGGTTGTCCACAGGGGAGGTACTTGGCTGGTCTGTCTTGTAGGTTCTACCCAGTGGTTCTTCTTGTTGGTTCAGTGGAGGAGGTGACTCTTGACCTCCTAATGGGCAGAGGCCAATTGTACAGGGAGCTCTGGAATAAGCAGACTTCTCAGGGACAGTTCTGGACTGGGTTTGGGGTGGGGCACAAGAAGGGGATAGGGCAGCAGATTTTAATGACCCCAGTGTATTTTGTGGATGAAATTAACACAAGAGTGTCAGAAGCAGTCTGAATGGAAAACAGATGTGCAATCTGGTGAAGATAGGAGGGGCGGACCGGTCCCATTGCCTTGATAAAGGGCTTGGATGTTGTGCAGTGCGTGTGAGAACTGGACTGTTTTTAAAACACCGCCCTCCTCATTGGACGTCTCTCAGGGCCTCTGCCTGGGCAGCAGGAGCGGAAGACACTGCAAAGGAGGTGACTTGCCATACTTTAGGGCCAGCTGTTTTCTCGGGTCTAGGTTAGGGTGAGCTCTTTGCCTTCATTCTGGAATCATCTTCATGGAGAGGGATTTCTCAATGCAGTTGGTGTAGTTCCCTGCGTACAGAATCACCCCATTGTTCTCACCGCTTTTTGGGAATCAGGGCAGCCAGTGCAGGTTGGCAGTGTAGGACCTCGGTGTGTCTTGGTTACTGAAGGTACATGTGTTGTTTTGAAATGCAGGTGAAGCCATATAATGTCTACATCACAGTTGCTTACCCACCAGACACAGATACACCTGGCTTTGCTGAAGAAAACAGAACAAAGGTCAGTATCCTACATGTCCCAGTTTGAACCTCTAATGTTTACTGCTTTCCTGATTTTCTTTCTGCTCTTCAGCTCATACTCGTTTTCACCAGTCAACAGTGTTTATTGGGTAGAGTGCCTAGCTGGTTTCTGATGACCTTGAGATTCTCCAGGCATATATTCCTTCTTTCCTTCCTCTTTTCCTTCACTTCCTTTTCTTAAAGTTTAATTTAGATTTCCACCAGATTTTTTCTCTATAGCAACAGGGCCTCACTCTGCCGTCCAGGTTGGAGTGCAGTGGTACAGTCATGGCTAACTGTATCCTCAAACTCTCAGGCTCAAGTAATCCTCCTGCCTCAGCCACCTGAGTAGCTGGGCCTACAAGCGTGTGCCACCAAACCTGGCTAATTTTTAATTTTTTTGTAGAGATGGGGTCTCACTATGTCGCTCAGGCTGGTCTCAAACTCCTGAGAGAATCAAGTGATTCTCTCTCCTCAGCCTCCAAGGTGCTGAGATGATAGCCATTGCACCCAGCCATTTCTAGCACATTTTCATCAAAGAACTATGTCACACAGTTTTAGAGTCCAATATCAATCCTTTGCCTCATCTCTCCCATTCCCAATTCCTAGTCCCTAGAGGTAGCCATTTATTTTAACTAACATGTTTATACTGCCTGTTTTTTTTTTTTTTTTTTAAGATTTAGAAATTATTGACTTTCTACCGTGGAAGATAAAATTTAAGACCAGGCCAGGCACAGTGTGGCTCACGCCTGTAATCCCAGCACTTTGGGAGGCCAAGGCAAGAAGATCACTTGAGACCAGGAGTTCAAGACCAGCCTGGGCAACATAACGAAACCCTGGCTCTACAAAAAATTAAAAAATTAGCTAGGCATGGGGGCACATGCTTGTAGTCCCAGCTACTCAGGAGGCTGAAGTGGGAGGATCATTTGAGCCAGGGAGGTTGAGGCTGCAGTGAGCCAGGATTTTACTACTGCATTTTGACCTGGGTGACAGAGAGAGAACCAATATCTAAAAAAAAAAATTAAAATTAAAAATAAAACAGTAAAAATGTAAGGCCAGCCATGGTGGCTCACACCAGTAATCCCAGTACTTTGGGAGGCCATGGCAGGAGGATTGATTGAGCCCAGGAGTTCAAGACCAGCCTGGGCAACATAGCGAGACCCTATCCCTATAAAAAAATAAGCAAAATTAGAATAGTTCCACCTACTCGGGAGGCTAAGGTGGAAGGATAGTGTATTAGTCTGTTCTTGCATTACTGTAAATAAATACCTGAGACTGGGTAATTTACACATAGAAGAGGTTTAGTTTGCTCACAGTTCCACAGGCTGTACAGGCTGCTGCTTCTGGGGAGGCCTCAGGAAACTTACAATCTTGGCCAAAGGTAAAGGGAAAGCAGGCACGTCTTACGTGGTCGGAGCAGGAGGAGGCGAGAGACAGGAGGTGCCACACACTTTTAAACAACCAGATCTCATGAGAGCTCACTCAGTATCATGAGAACAGCAAGAGGGAAATCCACCTCCATGATCCAGTGACCTCCCACCAGGTCCCTCCTCTGACATCAGGGATTGCAGTTGGACGTGAGATTTGCATGGGGACACAGATCCAAACCATATCAGATAGTTTGAGCCCAGGACGTCGAGGCTACAGTGAGCCAAGATTGCACCACTGCACTCCAGCCTGGGCAACAGAGTAAGACCCTGTTTCAAAACAAAAACATTAAGATTCATATCTGTTCCCCATTCCCTGTGTACTCCTCCCATCTCTTTAGTTAAATCAGGTTTAGTGCTTATATTAATATGACTGCAAATATTATGCACACTTGGACCATTCTATAGTGACATTTCCTTTCTTGCCTTTTCATTTTACTTAGCTTTGTCATTATCTGTAACTAATTCAGTCCCAGATTCAGACAGAACTGAGATTCTCCTTTTGATCCATGTGAGCACATTGGACATTCTGTTTCATTCTTTCTTCCTCAGACATTTCTCCTGGGGTCGTCCCCATTCCTGGTCTGTTCTAGATCTGACCAGGATCTAAGTGGTCTAAGGACTTGTCTTCACCTCACACTGCACGTTCCCTTCTCCTCTCCCTTTGACGGAGCCCATGACTCTAACTTTTTTGGTTTATCTGCTCATTTTGGCAGAGCTATAATATTTTCCACCAATTTTCTGAGAAAGGGCACATCAGAGGTAATATTGTTTTAGAAACGACATATCTGAAAATGGCTTTAATTTTAATCTTTTTTTTTTTTTGAGATGGACTCTTGCTCTGTCACCCAGGCTGGAGTGCAATGGTGCGATGTTGGCTCGCTGCACCCTCTGCCTCCTGGGTTCAAGAGATTCCGGTGCCTCAGCCTCCTGAGTAGCTGGGGTTACAGGTGCGTGCCACCATTCCCAGCTGATTTTTTGTCTTTTTTTTTTTAGTAGACACGGGGTTTCACCATGTTGGCCAGGCCCGTTTCCAACTCCTGGCCCACCCTGGCCTCCCAAAGTGCTGGGATTACAGGCATGACCACCATGCCTGGCCATTTTTTTTTATTCTTGATGTATTGTTTTATTAAGTACAGATTTCTAGTTTGGAAATAATGTTTCCTCAGATTTCTGTGGGCATTTATTGATTTCTAGCTTCCAGAATTTCTGTGGAATGCGATACCATTTTGATTCTCAATCTTTTGTATAGAACCTGTTTTTCCATTTATTTTTGGAAACCTTGTATCCCTTTTTATCCTTACTTAATGGATTTTGGCATGGAATCTTCTCACTTCATGTGCTAGACACGAAAAGGAGCCCTTTTGTTTTGTCAACTTTTGTTCTGGGACATTTTATTGTATTACTCCTTTTATCACTTCTTTCTTCCCAAAGTATTTCAAGTGTTCATCTTTCTGGAGCATTTATTATTCAGATTTTTGAACTTTCTGGACCGATCCTCTAATTTCCTTCTATTTTCTCTCATTAAAAAAAAAAAATCTCTTTGGCCTTTTGTTCTCCTTTCTAGTTTTTTAATTAGCTTTATCCTTAAACCTTTTTGTTGAAATTTTTATTTCTGCTGGCTTACATAAAAATTACTTTAGATCTCTTTTCTCTGAATATTTAAAACAGTTTTTAAAAATAGCGTCTTATTTCATGGATTTCATATTTTCTCTTGTGTCTAAGGATGTTCACTCTGGATGTTTAGCTTTGTTTTTTTGTTGCTGTTGTTTTGTTTGAAAATTTCTTCTACATCTCGTAGTATTTCTTTCCTCCTACTTTCTTTTTCTCTGTTGTTGTTTTTTAAGGCTTCCTCCAATGTCTGGTGATCCTTGATTGTCCATATTTAAGAGTGAGGCACTAAAATGCCAATTGTAAATCTCTAGCTTCTCAGCTGTTTACTATGGGATGATCAGGAGGGGATGCAGCCACTTCATGAGAAGACTTTCATATGCCAGCATCTGCTCACTTTTCTCATGGTTTGATCAATTTCCCTAGTGAGGAATCATGTCATCTCCTGCCTTTGGGAGAGTAAGACTTGCTATCTGTGTTGTGGGAGCCAAGCAGGGCAAGAGGGCTGGGGAGCTCACCACCTAAGTGCCAACTTTTGCTTAATTTTTCTGTTTCTGCAAGGTGCCTTATAACTACTCTTAGTGGTGACTGGTGTTCCAGAATTAAGAGTCTGGTTAGTAAACTGCTAATCTTCTGCCATTTTAGAAGAGATGATTTGGGGTCTGATGATTTGAGTCTCCATTGCACTTATCACATCAGAAACTTCTCATAGCACTTATAACAGACATATCTTTTATATAAAATGACTGCCAGTCGTTCTGAGCTGAATATAAGCTTCACACGTTTTCAATGGAATATTCCCTTTTCCTTGACACATAGTAGTTGCTTTTTTGAGCAAATGAATAGGTGAGGTGGGAAGAAAGGAATTAATCAGAACTTACCACCTTGAACTGTGGTTGATTTTAGTTTTATATTTTTTTCTTCTCTTTTATACCAATACTTTGTAAATGTGAAACTCTGCAGCATAAAAATTGGCACTGAAACTCCCTAGACTGTATATTTGTAAAAAGATGTTTGTGATTTAGAAGGTTTTTTTTCCCCCTATTCTTTTCTCTTTGGCTCTGCCTTTTTAAAAATTACTGCTATTTCAAAGAAGTAAATTTAAGCCAAATGTCCTGTCTTAGAATAAGCTTTGCAACATTTGGTATGCAGTCTTTTAGTTTGAAGCCAAAGCTGACAAAGGGTGGTGATTTCCCTGTTAAGCTTTGATTCTGATGTTGATTAAGTTGGGTTTTTTTTCCCCGTTCAGTAAAATTTTGGGCAGACTTGTTTGGGTAAATACAATTCTACATTGATGTGTAGGCCCTTTAGGGGGCGCCATAGTACTTTAGAATCTTATGTGTATTTAGTGTGGTTATGCCAGCCTGGGGGTCTGGAAGAATGAATAGTGGCACCTTCAAAACAACTTTTCTTTTAATTCAGGTTCACAAGAAATACTTGATATTTATGAAATACTTTACTTCCTGTTTTAAGAAAATATAATCTGGTTTTTATTTTCTTTAATTCCTTCAAGCTTATATGGTAAAGTTTACAGTCTCATGCAGTTTAAGGCTTTCGTTTGACACTTCTAATTGAAATTATTTGACGCTTCTAATTGAAATTATTTGACGCTTCTAATTGAAGCTAATTGAACTAATTGAACTAATTTTTGACCACATATATGCAAGGCATCACAAAGAAAAGCCAAAGATAAATGATTTCTTATAAAAAAGGCCCTGCCCACAAGAAACTTAAGAGGTAAAATGCAAATTCGCAAGTAGCTATAATGTGTATTAAAGCAGAAATGTTCACAGAAGAAAGAAAGGTTACTGCCAGTTAGGTATTTAGGGAAGGCTTTTTGAGCTAGGTGAGAGTTGAGATGGACCTTTTGAGGAAGAAAAGTCCAAGATTTGGGGTCTGCAGCTCCAGCCTGGTAACTAGCATGCAGCCCATCTAGGGACCACTCAGGGTTGTCTCCTAAGTGGCTCCTTCTCTTTCAGTGTCCTGTGCGTTTGCCTCCTCTGCAGATCCTTTAAGAAGCATCTGCAGTTGTCGAACAGGGGCTGGGTTGCGACTGTGCCTGCCTTGGGCGCCAGGTTCATCCCCAGGGATCAGCCCTCTGCTGGCCTGGGAGTATGGTCAGAATAGAGTTGCTGGCCTTGAGAGCAGGCTTGCTCTGGACACAGGTCTAGCCTCTGCAGAAGCACTGTCACTCAGGTGTCTGGTCAGCACTGAGGTGTCAAAAGAGAGGGTCTTTCTGAACTTGTATCCGGTGATGTGTTCTCAACTATAACTTTGACGATCCTCACTGGAGCCAAGATTTCATATGTCCTCAGACAATGGCAAAGGCCTCCTTGTCTTGCTTCAGCTACTGGGTAGAATTTTACATAGTAACTAGGTAGACACTGATTTAGAATCCAGATGGGCCTTATTCTAAAAACGGGAATCTGCCCAAAGGTAGAAAATTGGAATTATTTGTAAATCAGGAGGCTGTAAGAATAATTTATTTTGAATGTAATGGGTAATCATGATATTGTTATGTACATTTTTTTTCCACTTTTAGCCTTTGGAGACTCGACTTATTTCAGAGACCACATCTGTGTGCAAACCCGAACAGGTGGCCAAACAAATCGTTAAAGATGCCATAGTGAGTAAAATCCTTGTTTTCTGTACTATTTGTATTTGCAGTACTATATTCCTGAAAAGATATTTGTCCTAGGATTTAACTTCAAAACATCAATTATTAGAATTTTTTAGTCTGTTAGATTCATCATATCTAATATTGGACTCGACTTTTCTTCTTTTAGACACTTTATTGAGTCCATATTAGTGAGTAGGCTCCTGAAAACTGATTGTATACCTTAACCTTAGGAACAGGTTTACTAGAAGGATGTCTGGAAACCTGGAAACACCAGTTCTTTAAAAAGAAAATGAGACTTTCCTACGCAGTGTAAACAATATATACTGTGTCCTTTTTTTTTTTTTTTTTTGAGATGGTGTCTCACTCTGTCACCCAGGCTGGAGTGTAGTGGCGCGATCTCGGCTCGCTGCAAGCTCCACCACCCGGGTTCACGCCATTCTCCTGCCTCAGCCTCCCAAGTAGCTGGGACTACAGGCACCCGCCACCGCACCCGGCTAATTTTTTGTGTTTTTAGTAGAGACGGGGTTTCACCGTGGTCTCGATCTCCTGACCTCGTGATCTGCCCACCTCAGCCTCCCAAAGTGCTGGGATTACAGGCGTGAGCCACCGTGCCCGGCCACAGTTTATACTATGCCCTGTATACACCTGGCTGCCTTCTCTCCCATTCCTGTTTCCCAGTATCATTTTCCCAAAAGTTAGCTAACGAGAAAGTGCCACTAGCCCAGTGGGCCTGTCCTCCTGTCTTCCCTGTTGATGTGCTTTTTTATTCAGAATCAAAAATAGTATTTCAAGAAACGATGTGCTGTGTTGTAGAAGAACAACATATGTGCCTCATGCTTTTTGACAACATTTCTGTTAATGCGGAAAAATACACATTTATGAGGGATGTCTGTAAACCACAGACCCACACTGAATTTGGAAAATCTTTAGGACCATTGGAATGAGAGGTGTCAGCACATGGTGGACAGCCTTGAAGCAGCATAAGTGCTGTCACATTAGACTGAACTGAGCAGAATAAGACATAGTGAATTCTGCTGAAATGTATACGCGTGTGAACAACTTTGCCCTGAGTGCCTTAAAAGGCCCAGGAAGATGGCACAAGTGGGACTTTATTTTTCCTGCTTATCTCAGGTCAAAGCAAATGCATTTGGTATTTGTTGTTGTTGTTGTTGTTTTGTTTGTTTGTTTGTTTTGAGACGGAGTTTCGCTCTTGTTGCCTAGGCTGGAGTGCAGTGGCATGATCTCGGCTGGCTGCAGCCTCTGCCTCCTGGGTTTAAGCGATTCTCCTGCCTCAGCCTTCTGAGTAGCTGGGATTACAGGGTCCCACAACCACACCTGGCTAATTTTTTGTATTTGTAGTAGAAATGGGGCTTCACCATGTTGGCCAGGCTGGTCTCGAACTCCTGATTTCAGGTGATCCACATGCCTCAGCCTCTTGGCCAAAGTGCTGGGATTACAGGCGTGAGCCCCGTGCCCAGCCCATTCGGTGTTTTTAATGATGCTAAATAGCTCTTAGTATTTTGGCAGTATTAATTCAGTTTAGTGGTTTTCAGACTTTTCTTCTCTTGACCACTTTATATTCTTACAAATTGTCAACAACCCCAGAGAACTTTCATTTATTTACATGGCTGTATTTATTGGTATTTGCCATATTTGAAATGGAAGCTGTTTATAATATTTATTAATTCATTAAAAATAACAAAAATGGCTGGACGCGGTGACTCATGCCTGTAATCCTAGCACTTTGGGAGCCAACGGCGGGCTGCGATCACTGAGTCAGCGAGTTTCCAAGACGACAGCCTTGACCAATAATGAATGAAACCCCCATCGCTACTGAAACTCATACAAAATTACCAGGCGTCGGTTGACCCTGAGCCTTGTAATCCCAGCTATTTTGGTAGACCACAGGAAATTTGCTTGATCCTAGGGAGGGGAATCAGAGGTCTGCCTAGTGTGCGTGGAGCCTACATTGCTCTGGTCGTCTCCAGCTCTGTGTTCCAACCAAGAAACAAGACTCCTGTCTAACCACAAAAATAGCATAGAAAAAAAATCAGTATCAAATATAACCTTTTATATAAATAATTTTTAACAAATATTATAATATGCTATAATGCTATGTAGATTTATCTCAGTAACACTACATTTTTAAAAACATACATATACATATATATTTTAAAAATATAAAAGATATATATGCCCATTGCTTTATAATGTGACTTTTTTTAAACAAAATTTACAAAAAATTTTCAAAACAAAAGTTCAGTGAGGACAGTGGCATTGGTTCACATTTTCACCAGTTGCTTTAAGGTCTGCATTAATAGCTGGATTCAAATAGCTGCTTCTGCATTCCATCTGTTGTAATAATGTTGTTTTGATGGAAGGATATGAAGAAAATCTGGCCTTAGACAGATGCGGAGTTGGGAAAGGGAAGACTATTTTACTAGGCTTTTCAGATAATTATGGACATTCTTTTTTTATATCAAACTCAAACTCAACAAATGGTAGTTTCTTAAAGGTTAGTTGCAGTATAGAATTGGAAACTACATCAATGAACGTTTTGTACTCTGTTACATTAAATTCCATTCGTCCGTCTTGTACTTTGAATGGATCTTTTAACCATTCATGATTTCGTAACACTATGCATTAGTCATTTGGAAAATATGGGTTGACTGAGTGATCAGAAAAATTGCTTTCATCAATATTACTGCTGATCTTATCATAAAAGTATGCAGCTTACAGTCTCATGATGGTGGATACTAGTTTTTCCAAACCTTAATTTTTTCTTGAAGGCTCAGATTTTAACATTGATGACACATGTGGCCAGTTGTTTTTCCTGAAGTGACACACTTGCTTTTGTCGTTTTCTGCACATCTGCCGCATACCTAAGTCTGAACAACCATGGATTTCCTGTCAATGGTCTTTCATATAAAAATTATGCTCTCCAGCCAGGCACGGTGGCTCACGCCTGTAATCCCAGCACTTTTGCCGGCCGAGGCAGGTGGATCGCTTGAGCTCAGGGGTTTGAGACCAGCCTGGCCAACATGGTGAAACCCCATCTCTACTAAAAATACAAAAATATATCTGGGTGTGGCAGCACATGCCTGTAATCCCAGCTACTTGGGAGGCTGAGGCAGGGGAATCGCTTGAACCTGGGAGGCAGAGGTTGTAGTGAGCAGAGACCACACCACTGCACTCCAGCCTGGGCCACAGAGTGAGATTCTGTCAAAAATAAATAAATAAAAAATAAAAATGACGCTCCGTGAAAGAAGTGGCAGTTTAGCCCTCGACGTAAGCAGCTGCTTAAGGGCTTTTGTTCCAGGCAGTTGTCCCCCTCTGGAATGCAGTGCTGCGGGAGCGCACTGGGCATGTTCTCATTTGTCACACAGAGTATTAAGAAGACATGTCCTCGAGGGTTGCCATTTAACAAAATGATGAATTTTGCTGCTTTATCAAGAGGATTTTAAAGCAAAACTGACACTTTTTGATTTTTAAAAGAATTTTAGAACTTGTATTTTCTTTGTGTATTCTTTATTACTGTGAGTGTATGTGGTAGTACCGATGACAGTGACTCCTAGTAGAGTTTGGTCAGAACACCGTGGTTTTAGCCCGTGTCTGCAGTTTGGCAGAGGCAAAACTGTATTTCCCATACATCACACTGTGGAAAAGAGAATGAATGTCTTAGTGTTATTAGGACAATCATTTGTCCTCGGGGGCCCGCAGGGGTCCGTGGACTCACTTGTTGCGAACTGCCCATCTGCCAAGGCCCTGCGTCCATTTGTGAGTGCTGCTCAATGCTTTGTGACCGTTTTATCTCACTTAAAGTGAACGAGCACACTCCACTGTTTCTGATGCGTTGGATTGATTTCTGTCTACATTACTAGGATTCCCTTTTTCTCGTCTTTTCCTTCTCTTTTAGCAAGGAAATTTCAACAGTTCCCTCGGCTCAGATGGGTACATGCTCTCGGCCCTGACCTGTGGGATGGCTCCAGTAACTTCTATTACTGAGGGGCTCCAGCAGGTAAGCTCTGCCCAGGCTAGCAGTCAGATAGGCCGATGGACAAGAGAAAAACTGCCTTTCATCAAACCTTGATGAGAAGAGATTAAGGGAAAACGGAGTAACTTTATTTAGAGAACGTATTTTTATTGAGCTATCAACTTTCCCTCTTCCTCCCCCGGGAATGAGTAAATAGGTTAAAGATACAACTTCAGGAATTTAGACTGGCAAGAAGTCGTCAGTGCTGGGCCTTATAAAAGCTTTATCCTGATGGTATCAAGGAGCCACTGAATGTTTTCATGCAGCGTATAGTAACTGGTGTGGAAAATGGGAGGGTGCACTCAAATGCATCCAGGGGGCCTGGGCAGGGGGTTGCAGACCATAGTGGTTGCAGGGACTGTGCTCCTCCCTCAGGAGCAGATAGAGAAATAAAACACCGTCTGTATTGAGGTGTTAACCTGGATTTTCACCTAAGAACCAGTGCTCCAATGTGTTTTGAAAAATGGAATACTCCTAGAGTAAGGGGTGGCCTTGCTTAAAAAGTCCTGAGATATTAGACTAGAAAACCTTTTCTAGGTGAATCAGGTCACACACAGCTAAATTTAGTGAGATACAAATCATGGATTAAACACAGTTGCTGCGCTTATGGAATTTATTATTTTGTCCAAGATACACAGTTAGTGTTTCACTGGCGTGCTAGGTACTGTACTTGCTCATGGGGAATCAGATGGAAGGCGACCTCTCCAGCTTCAGGGGCTTGCAGTCAAGTGGAATGCACTGACCATAAAGGTGACAGTAGTCCGGGCGCGGTGGCTCACGCCTGTAATCCCAGCACTTTGGGAGGCTGAGCTGGGTGGATCACTTGAGGTCAGGAGTTCGAGACCAGCCTGGCCAACATGGTGAAACTCTGTTTCTACTAAAAATATGAAAATTAGCTGGGCATGGTGGTGGGCGCCTGTAATCCCAGCTACTCGGGAGGTTGAGGTAGGAGAATTACTTGAACCCGGGAGGTGGAGGTTGCAGTGAGCCGAGGTCACGCCACCGCACTCCAGCCTGGGCTACGAGGGCAAAACTCTGTCTCAAAAAAATAAATAAATAAATAAAAAATAAAAGATGATAGTAGTGTAGTGTAATGTAGTAAGGATTACAATAGAGGGAATGTTCTGGAAAGACAAAGCCATGGGATGGTTGTTAACAAGTACTAAGTTCTGTGCAGTTGACCACATTCAGACTTATATAAATGACTTAGTTGTTGGTTTTCCTCAGGGTCTTTCCGAAGCCCTCTTTTCTTTTCACTCTGTAATATACCTACTGTCTTGCCATTCTCTTAGAGGCTGACACTGTTAGATGTAAGCTCTTTGAGGACGGGGCCCACGCCTCTTGTTTGCCATTGTACGCCTAACAGCCAGTGCCTGGCACTTAGTAGGAACTCCAGAATACCTGAGCTGAACGAATGCATGAATTCTTTTATTTTTTAATTTTTGGGCTGGCATGGTGGCTCACACCTGGGGTGTTGTCCCGGACCTCCCCTGCTTCTGTCCCTCACATCAGAGATCATTGTCACCCTTGTCACTCTGTTCTTCAGATGCTTCCATTCTCTGCAGTTCTGGCAGTGCTTCTGGAGCCCAGGCCTGGGTTGCCACAGCAGGCCTCCTGCCTGACTTATACACTTTTTGAGCCAGAGGTTGTAAATGATTCCCATGGGCCTGTAAAGCAGTTTTGTTTGGTCCATCTGGTATGAGTGTGTGTGTTTCAGATTTTAAAATAGTTTTTAAATTAGGTTTCATATAAAAGGTCCAGATTTCAGACTTTTCTTGGAAAATCGGAACGTTTAGCTGCACAGAGTCTGCATTCTCACCTGGCAGTCATCAGCAAGCACAGGTGGCAGCTGCTCCTGAGGGAGAAGCACAGTCCCTGCAACCACTATGGTCTGCAACCCCCTGCCCAGGCCCCCTGGATGCATTTGAGTGCACCCTCCCATTTTCCACACCAGTTACTATACATTGCATGAAAACATTCAGTGGCTCCTTGATACCATCAGGATAAAGCTTTAAAAATTCCATTGCACCTGGGTATGGTGGCTCATGACTATAATCTCAGCATTTTGGGAGGCCGAGTCGGGAGGATTGCTTGAGCTCAGGAGTTTGAGACCAGCCTGGGCAACATAGTGATACCCTGTCTCTATATAAAAATGTAAAAGAATAAGCAAGCCCGGCGTGGTGGTGTGTACCTGTATTCCTAGCAACTGGGGAGCTTCTGCTTCAGTCTGGAAGTCTGAAGCTACAGTGAGCTATGATCATATTCCCGCACTCCAGCCTGGGTGACAGAGCAAGACCCTGTCTCTCAAAAGAATTTAAAAATTAAAAACATTTCCATCGCATACCATAAGCCACCTGATCTCCTACCCCACTTACCTTTCCAGGCTCTGGTTTTTTCTTTCTTTACCCGTCCTCTTCTTTCTGGAATCTTCTCTATGTCCTGCCAACTTCTAATCTTCCTTCAGGTCTCACCTTAAACATTGTTTCTTCCAGAAGATCCAAGAACTGGGTTCAGTGCTCTGAGGGTGTAGGGAAAAAAAACAGTGATTTTTCTATTCTCTTATGCATGGGGGCTCATGCCTATGGTCCCAGCTGCTTGGGAGGATGAGGCAGGAGGATCCCTTGAGTTCGGGAGGTCAAAGCTATAGTGAGCCGTGTTCATGCCGCTGCACTCCGTCCTGAGCAACAGGGTATCAGTAATCACGGCTCTCAACCCCGAGGCAGTAGTTTCAATTTTACTTGTTTTTCCAGCCTGAAAATAAGCTCACTGAGGGCAAGGACTGTGTCTCTCACCACAGTGTTCTCAGCATCTAGTATAGGGTCTTGCTTTCACGCTCAGAACATAAATCTCAAACCAAAAAAGCCTTGATTGTAGTTTGGCTATTCGAGATGCTGGAGTGGATCTTTTTAAGCTATTATAACCCTAAGACTGCGAGCAATACCTATTTTGTTCTGCTTGTGGTTTGAATTTATTAATTGAACAAATATTTCATTATGTATCTGGGCTGTCCAGTGGTGCAGAGTACACACATTCTGTTCTCACAGCTTACTGACATTTACAGAGTTTTCATTATATTCATCCTTAGAGCAGACTAGAAGATGTGTCTTAGAAACTATTTATTAGAGACGTAGGTACCTTGAAATAGTCTTGTACCGTTGGATGCACTAAAAGCTCTCTCTTTATCTTGCAGGTGGTCACCATGGGCCTGTTCCGCACTATTGCTTTGTTTTACCTTGGAAGTTTTGACAGCATAGTTCGTCGCTGCATGATGCAGAGAGAAAAATCTGAAATTGCAGACAAAACTGCCTAATTCTTCTCACCCTTTGGAAGAAGACTGTTTCCAAATAATTTGAACAGCTTGCTGCTAAATGGGACCCAATTTTTGGCCTATAGACACTTATATATTGTTTTCAAATGTGTCAGATTGGACCAGTGCTCTTCAGAAATGTGGCTGCAAGCAAGGGGCTAGAAGTTCACCTCCTGACAATATTATTAATACTATGCAAATATGGAATAGGAGACCATTTGATTTTCTAGGCTTTGAGGTAGAGAAGTGAAGGTATGAGAATTAATACCATGTGAACAAGGTAAAGAACAGGATTCCAGAATGATCATTAAATTGTTTTCTATTTATTCTTTTTTGCCCCCCTAGAGATTAAGTCCAGAAATGTACTTTATGGCACATAAAGAAATCTTGAGGACTTTGTTTAAACCTTCCATAAAAAACAATTCTGGGTTTCTCTCCCTCCCTCCCTCCCTCCCTCCTTCCTTCCTTCCTTCTTTCCTTCCCTCCCTTCCCTTCCCACTTCTTCCTTCCGCTCCCTCCCCCATCCCTCCTCGCCTCCTCCCTCCCCCCATTCGTTCCCTTCTTCCTTCCTCCCTTCGACCGCCATCCCCCTCCTTCATTTCCTTCCTTGCTGCTTCCTTCTTCTCCTCTCTCTCTCCTTCCTTCCTTCATTCCTTCCTTCCTTCCTTCTTCACGTCTCCTCCCTCCCCCCCTCGCCTCCCTCCCTCCTTCCTTCCTTCTTCTCCGTCTTCGTCCCGTTTCGTCCTTCTGTCCTTCCTTGGTGTATTTTATTCAAGATGACTTGGACCCATTGCCAGTGAGTCTGAGTGTCACTGACAGCCCTGTGTTGTGCTCAGGACTCACTCTGCTGCTGGTGGAAACGCATGGCTTCTCTCTCTCTTTGATCCCAGGAAGCTATGAGGGGGACGGGAGAGGGCAGTGCAATGGGAGCTAAAGAGATATTTTCCAGTAGGAAAAGCAATGCTTTCTTGTCTTCTTTAGACTCAAATGCTTAGGGAACGTTTCATTTCTCATTCATGGGGGAAGGCAGCCTCCTTAAATGTTTTCTGAAGAGCAGTAAAATCTAGAAGCTTAAGAATTTACAGTTCCTTCAATAACCATGATGACCTGAAGTTCACCTATTCCATTTTAGCATCTACTTGTTCTTCCCATCTCTTCCTTTCCAATTTTGCTTATACTGCTGTAATATTTTTGTAAAAAAAAAAAAAAAAAAGGGAAAAAAAGACCAGCTAAAATTTTTGACTTGACTTTTTAACTTAATTCATGAATTAATTAAAACAAATGAAAAAATTAAAAAGTGTGACATTTTTCTCGGAGCATATATGTAGCTTTTAGGAAAGGCTGATGATGGTTTAAAATTTACTCATGAAGAAAAAAAGACAAGGCTGATTTTGAAGAGAGTCGCTTTTGAAATAAAATGATCACCTGTTCTTTATGTGACTCTCCCACTGAGCCCGCAGACATTATCTTCATACCATGTGCTAAGGAAGCCCACTCATGACTCGTAACTCTGTAGCCCTGGAAACCCTCTTGGCCCCTGAATGTTGTTTCCAGGTTATAGGATCTGTGCTCATTAGTGGATTTTGACAGCAAGTGTCTCTGATGAGTTTTAGCCAACATTCCCCGTTGCATCCTGCTGGGTGTTCGCACTCCTCTGACTTGAGGAGAGCTGCCTTCACCTTGATCTTGTAACCCATCTTCCTTGCATATATGGTAGCACATTCCAGATCACTTTGGTGAGAAAAGACCTCTGTTTTTGAAGAGGAAACTTTCTTAAATTGTAAAATAAAACTTAAAAAACATAAAAACTCTGTACAAAAATTGAAGACCTAAAAATTATTGCAAACCTTTTTTTTTTTTTTTTTTGCTCTTGAGTTTTTGAAGCTCTTGACTTTAAATGACTTAACTTTTTAAAAAATAAGATGTTTGATGGCTTTAACCCATGGTATCTTTTTATTAAGATCTGAGAATAGCATATTTTAAACACTGATAGATACAGAAGAAATTATTATTTAATGTATTAATTGCTTGGAATGATTTCATTGCAGCTTATAAGGATAGGTTGATGCCAAAATGGTTTCATAAATCTTTCAGTCTTACAGAGCCGAAGTTTGCAGATTATATTGAGTTGCATTGTGCAGCTGCTCAAATGGAATCATAACTTTTTATAATTTGCAGAAAGCAATTGCATTAATGTCTGGATGTTTCTCAGTTTTACTCTCTTCTCATAAATGTTCCTTGAACGCTGGCACCTTCTACTGCTGATCTATATTAGAATCTAGTCCAAGAAGGTGTCTGATTTAATAACATTAACTAAATAATTATTTCAATATATTTTTTCAAATTATCCTCATAGAACCTGTCGCTTCCAGTGAGATGGTAATCTACCCAAATAAATTTAAGAGAGCCTGTTAAGAGCCCCTGTTTTGGGGTAGAAGACAATTGTCCCTATCCCAATTTCCATTGAAATATGAGAGCAGATTTGTAGAGACCATCATGTCAGAGAAGAAATTTCCTTGTCAGAGATGTTAAAGGGCTACAGTCCCTTACCAAAAAACTTTGAAATCTAAGTTGGTTTGTGTTTTTCTGAATTTGATACCGTAATTCATTTGGCAGCAAAATCTGACTTGAACTGATGTGAGAGTATTGTACTTTTTTTTAATGCTACTCCATTGTGACTGTTAATTTTCCCTGAAGAAATATCCATGGATTTGATTCTAGGTATTCCCCTAGATGCTGTGGAGGTGTTTTGTAATATTCAAAATATGCCCATGTTGCCTTTTTAAAACCCCAAAGGTTATGAATTCTAAAACACATCCAGCGCAAAGGGTTTTGGATAAGGTGTTGTAAGCATTTAAGCAGCCGCACATAGTGGGCTGACTTCATCCAAAACATGGAAATATTACAAGGCAAATTCTATTTTTTATATTTTTTGGTTCAATGCTTGAACAACTTGTTTTTCTGCTGGGTGAAGAGAAAAAAAAACAAAACAAAAAACAACCGTGAGTATGATTGTTACGGAAACTAGTGACTTTGTTTTTAAAGGATCACATTGATTCAACACCTTCTGTTGGACCCAGAAGTGGGTAAATATTACCTATGGCAGTAAATGTTTAATTATAGTTCAGTTTAAATGCTGGTTTTCTGTATGTAGCCAAGAACAGCTCATTTTGTGAATTTCAGTTTTCAAGTGGCTGCTTTTTGATTTGGTTGTATTATTATAATGTATTTGTAAGTATATTAAAAAATTAAAAAATTAACTTTCAGCCATAAAAATCCCCAAATATGTTCAAGGACTTCATATTGAAAAATATATAGAAAACAATATTTCTTTTTACAAAAATAAAATCATGGGAATTATTCTTTTCTATATATTTAGTTATAAATCTTTCTCTGGGCCGGGCACAGTGGCTCACGCCTGTAATCCCAGCACTTTGGGAGGCTGAGACGGGTGAATTATCAGGTCGCGAGTTCAAGACCAGCCTGGCCAATATGGTGAAACCCCGTCTCTACTGAAAATACAAAAAATTAGCCGGACGTGGTGGCGGGCGCCTATAGTCCCAGCTACTCAGGAGGCTGAGGCAGGAGAATCACTTGAACCCAGGAGGCAGAGGTTGCAGTGAGCCAAGATTGCGCCACTGCACTCCAACCCAGGTGACAGTGCGAGACTCTGTCTCAAAAAAAAAAAAAAAAAATCTTTATCTGGATCTGTTAAACCATGTATTACTGATCATTGCAAGTGAAATTTTGAGATATTGTTTCTAGTATTTAGATGATGAAAACATTTTGGTAATACTGTTTCAGTTCAAAGAATTTTATGTCTTTCTAGAAGAAAGCAATTATATATATATTTTTTGCTAAATTATATAAACTTTTAATTACATCATGTTCTAATTTAAACATGTGTTACTCACTTGAGGCCACTTTTAAATATTCATACTCTTTGACATAAGATGCTTTGTATATTTCTCATTTCTTTTAGTTCTTAGTAAGTCAGCTTTAAAAAGTACCTGCCAACCAGAACCTTCCATATTCTGGACTAAATCTTGTTGTTTGGATTATACTTCAGTGCAGTAACTGTGGATTTGCAATTTTGAAGGGGAGATAGTCGCTATTATATTTTACACTTGCTTGATGTGATAACTCTGAAGACTTTTTAATTGATAAAAGTGCACATGGCTATTTTGATACACAATAAAAGTTGTGTTTGCTACTTTAGAAGCTTTTGTGGCAGAATTGTAACCTAATTTTCATACCTTGTATTTCTGAATCACAACAAAAAAAATAAATGGGGAACAAGACTTACAGATTTGAAAATTTACTTTTCTAGAAATTTGTGTTTTTTAAGAGACCATTTGGGCAAAACATAAATGTTTTCTATAATGTGATCCTGACTTTGCCTCCTAAGCATTTCACCAGGCCTGATTTTTATCATTATTTAGGTAGTAATAATACTTGTGGAGTTAATACTTGGTATTCTGAGCCCTTGTTTCAAGTATGTTCTGTTTGTGTCACTATGATGTGGGATATATGAGTAAAAGTTTAAGAAATGTGAATTTAGCAAAATTTCTTAAGTAGTTTTCAATACAAATATATTTCTCATACTTTAAAACCTGATATTCCAACCATGTAATATCTCCTAGATCCTGACGGGCAGCAAATTATATAAGACCAATCTGGAAAAGAACATGCCTTGATATTTATCAGTTCATAAATAGAAAGGTTTTAGAACATTGAGAAGAGATTTCTTGGACACCGTGGTTTGCAAGTTTAACCTTTCTTTACATCTGAGCAATTTATATACATAAATGGCATGTGATACTATATCTGTAATTTTTGTTTGGATATTTAAAAGACAAAATTATGTGTTTTGTTTGTTAGAGATGGAGTCTCGCCCTGTCACCAGGCTGGAGTGCAGTGGCATGATCTCGGCTCACTGCAACCTCCGACTCCCTGGTTCAAGCAATTCTCCTGCTTCAGCCACCCGAGTAGCTAGGATTACAGGCATGTGCCACCACTTGCAGCTAGGTTTTGTATTTTTAGTAGAGACGGGGTTTCACCATGTTGGCCAGGATGGTCTTGAAGTCCTGACCTCGTGATCCGCCCGCCTCGGCGTCCCAAAGTGCTGGGATTACAGGCGTGAGCCACTGCACCCGGCCCAAATTTATGTTTTGATTTCTGTTACACTCTTGATTTTATAACCTCCATTTTGCCTCATCCATCATATATTTGTTGGGTACCAATGATGAGCTTGATACCAAGTGCTGGGGATACAATTCTACATCAACAATTTGTTCCTTCCTCATGGCAATTACATTTCTTGTTTCTGCACCTTCTCCCTTCCTTCATCCCTTGGATGACTCTGCTATATCCTTACAAGTTTCTTAGATAAAGAGGAACCACTCCCCATTTTCTTCTGTGACTTGGAGCCTCTGAATTTTAGGCTTCAAGTATTTGTATGCTAAGCACTGTTCTAAGCTGGAAAGGT